GCACAAAAATAGACAGGTAGACCAATGGAATTGAATTGAAAACACAGATATGAACCCGCACATGTATGAACATCTGATCTTTGACAAAGAAGCTAAAAATATACAATGGATTAAAGAAAGCATCTTCAACAAATGGTGCTGGCATAACTGGAGGCTGGCATGTAGAAGAATGCGGATCAATCCATGGTTATCGCCATGCACAAAACTTAAGTCCAAATGGATCAAAGACCTCAACATAAATCCAGCCACACTGAATCTCTTAGAAGAGAAAGTGGGTGGTACCCTTGAATGAATTGGTACAGGAGACAGCGTCCTGAACATAACATCACTAGCACAAACAGTGAGATCAACAATTAATAAATGAGACCTCCTGAAACTGAGAAGCTTCTGTAAGGTAAAGGACACAGTCAGCAAGACAAAAAGGCAGCCTACAGAATGGGAAAAATATTCACTAATCCCACATCTGACAGAGGGTTGATCTCCAAAATTTACAAAGAACTCAAGAAGCATGTCTCCAAAACAGCAAAGGACCCAATTAAAAAGTGGGCTGCAGAACTAGAGAGTTTTCAATAGAGGAGTCTAAAATGGCTGAGAGGCACTTGAGAAAGTGCTCAACATCCTTTGCCATCTGGGAAATACAAATCAAAACAACTCTGAGAATCCATCCCACTCCTGTCAGAATGGCTAAAATCAAAAACACCAACGACAATTTATGCTGGAGAGGATGTGGTGAAAGTGGGACACTCCTCCATTGCTGGTGGAAGTGCCAACTGCTTCAGCCACTTTGGAAATCAGTATTGAGATTCCTCAGAAAAATGGGAATAAACCTACCACAAGACCCAGCAACTCCACTCTTAGGCATACATCCAAAAGATGCCCATTCATACAACAAAGATGTCTGCTCCACTATGTTCATAGCAGCATTATTTGTAATAGCCAGGACTTGGAAGCAACCTAGATGTCCCTCAACCGAAGAGTGGATAGATAAAATGTGGTAATTTACACAATGGAGTACTATTCAGCAGAAAAAAACAATGGAATCCTGAGATTCACAGGCAAATGGATGACACTAGAAACCACCCTGAGTGAGGTAACCCAGTCACAAAAAGAGAAACATGGCATGTATTCTCTCATATATGGATTTTAGACATAGATCTGGGGAGTGCCAACCTACAATCCCATGGACAGAGAGTCTGGGAAACAGAAACTTCATTCAGTGGCTGATCAAAGAAAAGGCAGCTCCCTCGGTTAAGTACTGAGCTGAACTCAAGAAAGCCAGTAACAGAGAGGGAGGACTGATGACCAAAGGGATTAAGACTGGGCTGGTTTAACCCCCAGAAACAGCTGACCTGACAAAGGTTAACTCTTGAATCCCAGGCATCAGCCTGGAAAATCCAGCATGAGACTGATCAAGACCCCCTGTATGTGGGTGTCAGTGAGGAGGCCTATGTAATCTATGGAGCCTTGGGCAGCAGATCAGTACCCATCCCGAGTATACACACGGACTTTGGACTCCCATCCAACAATGTGAGGAGCACTCTCACCCTGAACTCTTGGGGAAGGGTCTAGGCCCTGCCCTATATGAAATGACAGACTATGGACTCCCCCATGGAGGGCCTCACCCTCCCTGGGGAAATGAGGGGATAAGGGGGGGGTTGGGGGCAGGGCACGGGAGGAGGGGAGTGAAAGGGAGAGGGACCTGGAACTGACTTGTGAAGCAACCTTGTTTCTTATCTAAGTTTAAACTGAAAAATAAATTAAAAAAAAATAAAGCATATATATATACATATATATATATATACTCATAATATTTACTTAAGAAATACTGATTCCACGAACACATACTAAATGAAGAGAAGATTTAAACAGCTATAGAAAAATAAAATTATTTTGGACATGGATGGAATAGTAAAATTATTTAACAAAAATATGCATGCACTATCTTAGGACATAACAACTTCACTTTGTTTGATAATATTTAATAAGACCTTTGATCAAGTTTGTATAATAAAATTGAATATTTATATAATATTTTTAACATACCACACCACTGATATATATTCAGTATTTCTCCCACCTTTAGAAAAGTCTTTGTAAATACAAGTCAGCAATTCTAACACATTGCTACATTGAGAGAGAAAGTAGACACCCCATTCCAGTGCATCTTTGTCAGCATTCAGAAACTTCTATTTTTCTAGGTACACAAGATATATACCAAAACATAATAATTGAGAGATTTAAAATATTTCAAAATAGAACTAGTGAGATGGTTCAAAAAATTTAATGATGTATTCTGAGATCAATCATTGTGACTCAAAGAATGCAAGGAGAAAATCACCTCCTGTGACCCATCTTCTGACCTCTGCCTGCCAGCTCTTGGACAATTGTGATTCCCTACACTACACACAAGCACAACATAAACCAAAGGAAATATATTTTAAAATATACAAATTGTCTTTATCTGGGTCTCTTGCTTTGTATTCATGCTGAGGGAATCCATTTGGAAAGAGGGAAGAGGGATTGATAACATGAGCAAGGGTGGTCAAGATCATGACAGGAAAACCCACAGTCACCCCTGACTCATGCTCCTGGGAGATCACAGACTCTTTACCATCAACTGGGAAGCCTACATGGGACCTAACTAGGCACTCTGCATGTGGAGACAGTTGTGTACCTTGATATGTCTATGAGACCCCTGTTAGTGGGACCAGGATCTATCCCTGATGCTTGAGTTGGTTTTTGGAGCCCATTTACTATGGTAGGATGACTTGCTCAGTCTTGATATCAAGAGGAGTGACTTAGCCCTAGCTCACCTGAATGTGCCAGAATTTGTAGACTCCCCATTGGAAGACTTACCCTTTCTGAAGTGTGGATAGGAGATGGGTTGGAGCTGGGTGGTGGTGGTGCACGCCTTTAATCCCAGCACTCAGGTGGCAGAGGCAGGCGGGGGCAGGCTGATCTCTGTGAGTTCGAGGCCAGGCTGGACCAATAGCCTCCAAAACAATACAGAGAAACCCTGTCTCGTAAAAACCAAACAAACAAACAAAAAAAAAGAGATGGGTTGGGGAGAGTAGGATGAGGGGAAGGAGGAGGAAATACATTAAATATACAAAATGAATTTAAAAATAAAGTATATATATACTCAAAATATTTACTTCAGAAATACTGATTCCAAGAACGCATACTAAAGGAAGAGAAGATTTAAACAGCGATAGAAAAATAAAATTATTTTGTGCATGGATGAAATATTAAAATTATTTTTATATCACTTTGTAACATGTCTTTTAGTGAAACCTACAAGTAAATATTGTTTTGATTGCTTATGTCTTTCAATAATTTTACATTTGTTATTCCATATTCATTATGTGTTTTCTTGGATACCAAATTACAGTTACAAGTATAAAACAATGAATTATTTATGTATTTAGGTGTATACATGGTAATTTCTTCTGAAAATCTATGTTGATTTTCATGTATGACATAAGATTTCAATTTCATTTCATAAGCTTTATTGAAACATATGACCATGAATATGTTTAAACCCATTATAAATAGTATAATCTACCTCACTCATAGTGTTAGATGTAAAGATCATAAAGTTTTTCTTTACATTTATCCTGCCTTCCTAGTTAAAATTTCTCTACTTTCATATGAACCAGTAAAATATTTTCTTTCATTTTTTATTTAAATTGGAAACAAGTTTGCTTCACATGTCAATCCCAGCTGCCTCTCCCTCATCTCCTCCACCTCCTCCTTACCAGGCACCCCCTCCCCTTCCCAATCCACAACCCGATTCCCATAAACAAAATTATCATGTTACCTAGAAACATCAGAACAAGGTTTTAGATATTTCTAAAATGAAATCACAGACAGGATAGTCATCTATAAATGTTCCTTCACATCTGTACACAAAGGTTCAACCTTATGAAAACATAATCGTCAATACCCCATCCAGCATTCTGGTGCATTGAGAACTAATAGATCCCAAATTTACGATAACAGAGAGGGAAACAGAAAATACAGGATTTTTATTTATACTATTGTACTATTGATAGACTCTATGTAAGTCTATTTACTTCTGTGCCAAAAATTCCATGTGCCATAAACAGACACAATGATTCCTTCATTGCATCATTAAGAATATATAAGTGAAACGGTCTTACAAAAATGATAATTGAATATTGTTTTGAGTAATGATTCTGTATTTGCTTTACACCATTTGATTGATGAGTTCAGCATTAAAAAATAATTTGTAGTGTTCCTAATACTAGAAAAAATCCAACACTTGAAGAAAACCTACAAAATCATTAATTATTTTGGAACCTTTTTGTCCCTCAAAGCATGTCATCATTCCTAGGGTGTGAGATTTCCTTGTTCTCTTTACGACATGTTGATTAGAAATTAAATTTCATATAAATTAAGACTATGTTTTATATGTGAACTTGAATAATAAGTAAAGAATACTATGAATTTTTTCATTTCATAATGTCAATAAGGTAGATTGATTTAAAAAGTAGAACTAGAAGGTGTGAACTATAAAAGAAAATTGCTTAAAAAGATGCTACTATGCATATGTGCTAGTAAATTAGAAGTCTGAAATACTTACCAACTACTAACACATAATCATCTTGCTAAACTAAAATTTTCTGACAGAAGTTTCCCTTAATCAACTGCTTCATAGCATTGATGACATCCTTATTCCTTAGGCTATAGATCAAGGGGTTCAACAATGGGCTCAAAAAGGTGTAAAAAACTGCAATCACTTTGGACTCCTCTATAGATTTCTCAGATGGGGGCTTTAAATACATGCAGAAAAGTGTTCCGTAAAATACAGTTACAGTTGTCAGGTGGGAACCACAGGTAGAAAAGGCTTTTTGTCTACCTTCAGCAGAATGGATCCTCAAGATGGCTGCAAAAATGCAAAAGTAGGACGTAAGAATGATAAAGAGAGAGCTTATGAGAGTAAAGCCAGCTACCAGGAACATGGCCATCTTTTTGACTTGAGTATCAGAGCAGGCCAGCATGATGAGAGGAGGGTCTGCACAGTAGAAGTGGTTGATTTCACGGGAACCACAGAAAGACAACTGGAAAGTAAGCAGAGTCTGAGAGAGCCCATTCAGGAAGCCAAACACATACGGGAATGTGACTAGAGAGACACAAATGTTCTTGGACATCCTAGTTCTGTAATGCAAAGGACTGCAAATGGCCACATAGCGGTCCAGTGCCATTGAAGCAAGGATATACAACTCAGTGATTACCAGAGCAATGAAGAGTAGACATTGTGTGAAACATCCACCATAGGAGATTGTCTTGTTGTCTGAGATGAAACCATGCAGCATGTTTGGAGTAACATTGGAAGAATAGCAAATGTCTACAAAGGAGAGGTGTCCAAGGAAGAAGTACATGGGCGTGTGCAGGTGGGAATTGGTCCTTATCAGCACAATCATGCACAGGTTTCCTGCCAGTGTGATGACAAAGATGAGCAGAAACACCACGAAGAGGATCCTCGCCAGAACTGGGCTGTCTGTCAGTCCCACAAGAATGAAATCCATGCCTGCAGTGTGGTTTAGGGAGGCCATTTACTTACACCTCGCCAGTTGAAAATGACAGGAAATCGGATCAGTGCCTTGTTTTTTATATTGCCCATCAAATTCCATTCACTTCTTCAGGTCCTTTTCATCTGTGGAACAGGTTTTCTTCTCAGTATATACCCACCTTTCCTGTGTTTGTTTGTTTTTTCACTCTGAATCTTATTCAAGTGCACTTACAAGTGACATTTATTTATTCTACCCCATTATGGGAGCTTATAGCAGTAAACAAACTCTTAACCATTCCTAGAGCACACATTACACTGTAGATATTAATCATTGCTACACTATGCAAGTGAAATTTGCTATTTTATGATTTTAGGAAGTTTCTTCCTATGAAGATAGGATATACACAGTCAATAAAATACAACTGTTAGCTCATGTGTTTGCTCGTGCAATCTCCAGACACTCTAGAGGTAGAAGCAGCTAGATATATGTGAGCTTGAGGCCTGCCTGTTCTACAGAGTGAGTGCCAGGAAAGGCTCCAAAGCTACACAGAGAAACTGTGTCTTGAAAAAACAAAAAACAAAACAAACAAACAAACAAAACAAATACAACTATCTTAGAACAAATGAGGATTTTTCATGAAAATATTAGCTTATGGAACCACAGGGGTTTGAACAATGTCCTCTTTATCACTGTGTAGGAAGGGATGAATATATAAAACCACAAATCTTATTCTTCATGCATCACACTCAGACAACTGTGTGTTTGTTCTCCAAATATATATTTGAAGAACATGCATATGATGTGGATTCATCAGTAACATGTCAATGTCAAAATATTAATAGAATGGTCATGGGCACCTTAGCAAACAAATACATTTTATAAAGTGATAAGACAATAGACAAACATTCAAGATAAATTTTTACTTACCAAATACAGAAAATATCCACTGTTGGATATGTATGTACCATATATTATAGCAACAAGGTAGAGAAATCTATAACATAATTATTTAAAATAACCCCATGGGTTTCAAAAGTAATTCTAAAGATCCAATTAATATATTCTCTGATTCTCAGAGGCAGAAATTTAATTCAATGGTTTGAGGAACTGATTTTCCTTTGGGGCCAAATTCTCAACTGAGTTTCTGTGTATATAGCTTTCCAGAGTGTTCATATAATGCAAGTATGGTTAGAAAAATATATTGGCATCATATTAGCTTTTTGCCAAAGATCAAGTAGAGTATCTCTTCGTATCAATTTAACACCTGTTACACACTTAATATGAAGAAAATATGTTAAATCAACTTTTAGAATTATGGTTTGACAATTCCAATCAAATGTCAACCTGATACTGCAGCATAGCCTGAGCCAATTGACAGAAAGAACTAAAATTAAATAAATTGTGTGCTAGAAATTTCAATGTGTAAGCAAATAACCTGAGAATTATACTTGCTTGATTTAATAAGTCATGGGGAAGAAGTTTTGCTTTTGGAGAGGTGTGAAAAAATAGTTTAGAGGAAATTTCAGCAAATCCATTTAACTGTTATGAAAGAACCAATCTAGCCTGGGGGTTTTTACAGCAGGGCTTCAAAACATAGGCTGGCATTAATTTGACCAGTAAAGTTATATTTTCAAGACACTAAGAAGCACAGATGTGTCTGAAAAACGTAATCATTTGTCTTTCAATGTGGATATAAATAGCAATCAAATGATTTGAATGTGTCAAAATATAGATGGTGACTGCAGGAAGGCATCCTCAATTTCCATAGGCATCCATTAAATCTATATTTGTAAATCAAAGTGTATTACTTTTCATTGTAAAACTGGAAAATTTGGCATTTTCCAGGTGAATCCTTTTCAACCTAAGTATCAAAACTTTCTCTACTCCCATTTAATGTGAAGGAAAATTAATATAAAACAGTATAACTTAGTTCCCGGATTCCAGCATCCTACTCTGCATGGAGAGATTTGAACCTAATATCTCTAATGACATGCCTCCCATGTTCTAACTGAAATCTCAGATGACGAGAATACCAAGGATTATGATGAAACAGAATGATTGCATAGGAGTTATGACTCACATCGGACTTCATCTTGGTACTATTTCCACTCTGTTGTGGGATTTCATTCCACTAATAGTTTGTGGTACCAGCCTTAGGGTGTGGCTTCTGTGTGCAGACATGATTTTTGCAAGGAGTATGAGGGGTCTCACTCTTTGTCTTGGGAGGTCAGAGCAGAAGCAATCCTTGTGGTCATTCACATCTCCCCTGAACAGAACAGCAGGACACAGCAGCTGAACTCACAGCGGCTTCCACATTGTCCTGTATTTGTGAGTCTGTATTTTCCATTGAATCCCTATAATATTTTTTCAAATTCCCTCATCACACAAGGCTAAATATTGTAATTGTAATTCTTGCTTGATAGCTGCTACGTTATATGTAATTTTACTATGTTAATATTAAAACCTTTATTATTTTGACAGATTTTTTCTCTATGCTGTGAATATTCATTGTTTTTATTGGTTGATGGAGAAAGCTGTTTCAGCCAATGGCCATGAAAAATATAGATAGTCAGGAAATCCATACAAAGGCACAGAAATAAGGGAGATACCATGTAGCTGCTGAGGAAGCAAGATGTGAGGTAAGAGGTCACAAGCCTCATGGTAAAATATAAACCATTAGAAATGGGTTAATGAACAGGTATAGCTAACCAGTGAAAAGCCCAAGCATTGTTCAAACAATTATATTTAATAGATTAGCCTCTGAGTAATTATTTCATAAGTTGTTATGGAGACTTAGTGGGTAGGAGAAAAACTGGTTCAGTGATAATGTGTGAGACATAGAAGAAACATTCAACTACTCCACTGTGCTGTGTTCTTTTTCTCTCAGCAATGCCTTATTTGTCTACTTAACTAATTACTACTTTAACTGATGTCTACCTAGCTACTGTTGTCGTTTGAATGTAATTGTCACCTGTAATTTCACAAGGAGAGGCACTACTAGAAGGTATAGTTTTGTAGGAATAGGTATGGCCTTGTTAAGTATGTCACTGTGCAGGTGGGCTTTGAGAATTTCTTTGCTCGAGCTTCACTCAGTGTGACACTCAGACTACTTCCTGTTGCCTAAGGGTCAAGATGTAGGATTTTCAGTTCCTTTTCCAGCACCATGTTTGCCTGCACACCACCATGTCTCACCAAGATGATAATAGACTAAACCTCTGACACTGTAATCCACCCCTTTATAAGGGTTGCCATGGCCATGGTGTGTCTTCACAGCAATAGAAACTGGAACTTACAGCCTTCATAATAAAATGAAGACCTATGGAGGAAGAGATCCAATTTCAACCTCAAGTATGCACATACACACACACACACACACACACACACACACACATGCATACACACAAGCATACACACACATACACTTGTATGAATTAAAAACATTTAGCAATCAATTCTGAGTCTTTAATAGTGCATCAGTGTCATATTAATAAAGAAATAAAAGCTTAGCTTGTCATACGATTAACTGTGAAATCCAAGGCAAGTAAATTGTTGATGTTATTCTATTAAAGACGGGTTAAAGAAAGAAGCTGAGTACACAGTAGGGCAGCAGTCTCACATCTTAAGATTATGTCATTAATTTTATTTCAACAAAATTGTTTTTGTATTAATTGTTGATAAAATACAAAATAACAAATCTTATAAAAGTTAACAAAGAATGAGTCATGCTCCCTATGTCTGTCTGTTGTAGGAGTCTAAATCTGCTGCTGCCTGAAAGCTGATTTATGTGTGTGTCATGTGTATGTGGGTTTCCTTGTGGTTATTTATAACAAAAGGACTTCACTCTGTTGTTACTTAAAAGCAAATAAAGCATAATATGGGATAGGAATGTTATCTATTACAGAAATTTAAACTAAATTTTACAAAGGATTAAGTCACTGGGTCCAGCTGATCCCCACTGACCCAAACAACAAGCAGCACTAGAAGAACACCATTGTTTGTCAACCTTTATCCATAAATGCTGCTTTCAAACTTTATTGTAGATTTTAGAAGGCTGTTTTGAATCTCTGCATTTGATGCAAATGATATACATGCACTGATTTTGGTTAAGGGCAAAGAAGCACATGAAATTTAAGATTACATCTATGCATTATCTTAGATTATAAACTGAATAACCTAAGAAAATCAAGGCAAGTAAGTTTGACTGTTATGTCATTTCTTTAAAAGCAGTTAAAAAGAAGACTGAGCACACACTAGAATAGGACTCTTTTCCCCATTTTTTAAATTTAAATTAGAAACAAGTTTGCTTGACATGTCAATCTCAGGTCTCTCACCCTTCCCTCCAACAATCCTCCAATCCCCCACCTGATTCCACTTAAGCTCCACAGGGAGAGTGAGGCCCTCCATGGAGAATCTCCAAATTCTGTCATTTTATTCTGCGCAGGATCTAGGCCTTCCCCCATGTGTCCAGGATGAGACAGCATCCCTCCAAGTGCAATGGGCTCCCAAAATTGATTTGTACACCATGGCTAAATATTGGTCTACTATCCAAGGACCCATAGATTGCGGAGGCCTCCTTGCTGACACCCACATTTAGGGGGTCTGGATCAGTCCCATGCTGGCCTTTCAGTCCAGTCTGGGGTTCAAGGGCTTCCCCTTGTTCAGGTCAGCTACTTCTGTGGGTTTTACCAGCCATGTCCTGACTCCTTTGCTCATCACTCCTCCCTCTCTGCAACTGGTTTCTCAGAGTATGGCTCAGTGTTTAGATGTGGGTGTCTGCCTCTGCTTCCATCAGTCACTGGATGGACACTCTAGTATGGCATATAAGGTAGTCATCATTTTCATTATCAAGGGAGGGCATTTAAGGTAGTCTCTCCACTAATGGTTAGTTTGCCAGTTGGTGTCATCTTGTAGCTCTCTGAAAATTTCCCTAGTGCCAGATAGAAAAGGACTCTTAGATGTTAAGTCAAGATGTATTTTTAATTCTGTCTGTGAGGTGAAGCAAAAGTTCCATTCTCTAAGATGTAACAGACAACAGAATATTG